CCAATAGTATATAAATCAAACCTTGCAACACACGCCATACAAAACAAACATAATTTCCCCCCACCAGAGAACATAAAACTCATAAAACAAGTCACAAGGGAAACCGCATGGACATTTGGGAAAACTTGAATATCCATAAATTTAACAGTCATAAATCACTCATCAAGGAACAAGTACAAATCAAGACACAACAAGACCTCACATTCAATATATTAAACAAAACCATACACATTCCTAGAGAAGATCTAACACAAAGAAGAGTACCTGATGCAGTACAAATACAGGCAAATTTACCTAAAGTACCTGAAATACCTGAGTTAAGACGCTCTGACTGTATAAAGAGGCAGACGACACGATGACAAGTTCAGTTTGAGAAGTGCCAAGAAGATGACAGCACTACCAATTGTCGAAAGCGCTCGCAGATAATTAATAGAAGATATAAAGCTTCAAATCCTTTTTGTAACATGTAGGCTTGTTTTTCGTTGTCTAGGGTTTACGAATAAAAACTCCTCGTAATCGAGAAGTGATGTATTTCATCAACCAACTTGAACGTCAATATTCGCTTGCGATGAAATGTGTGCGTCTTTGTGCAATCAGGTCGCGGCTCGACTTGAATATTGCACCGTCTTATTAATGATTATTCGTGAATATCGTCTAATCGTCTTAATATATCACAAATTCTTGTCCCGTCATTATATATTCGTTTTACACCCTCTTTCCCTGTTCTGTTACGACTTCTCCATGGTTTCCGAAAATATCCAAATCATTCTAACCAAAAGTTAGATACAGCACGATTAAGACATCAAAACAATGAAATATTAATGAAACTGAAAACTATAAATAAAATCATACAAAAAATGATAATACCTGAATACATTCGGCCATCCGACATTGAATCCATGGTTTCATAAATTCCGCACATGTAGAAGTACGCAATGGTCCCTCATAATGACCTACCTTCATTACGTCATACCTTTCATTAGGTTTTGCTTTAACAATTTCATAGGGTCCTAAAAACTGTTTACATAATTTGGGTCCACCTCCGAATTGTGTCCTCTTTATAGCCACCAATTCTCCTTTTTTATAAATTCTTGGAGTTTTTCTTCTCAAATTATAAGTTCTTTGATTATCTTCTTGAACTTTGAGGATTTGTCTTTTACATTCAGTTCTGATATCTTCCCTTTTTCATTGAACTCTTCTATCACTGCCTTTTCCAATAGTTCTTTAATCATAACATCTTCCTTACTTTTCATTCTAACGCCCATTGAGACTTCAAAAGGGGTTACGCCAATACTTCTCTGTATAGTTGAATTCAATGCTCTTTGCACCTGATTCACGAATTTGTACCACTTTCTCGGATCTTCTATACTGAGTTTGGTAAGCACAGAAATTATTGTGCGATTCACTTTTTCTACCTGGCCATTACCTCTTGGGACTCCAGTAGTAATCAACAAATTCTGAATACATTCCTCTGCACAATAATCTTCAAATTCTTTTGCTGTAAATGCTGTTCCTCGATCTGTTATGATCCTTGATGGATTACCAAATACTTACTTATGTTTCTGTTTCTTTCGCTGTTACAGATTTACATACATATAGCCAAGTGAATTTGGAAAACTCATCAACAACTACTAAAATATATTGGTAATTTTCATTAGTTGAAGGCATTGGTCCTAAATGATCTGTGTGATAAGTATGTAAGAGCCCTTCTTGTTTAGATAATGGATGTAACATGCCTTCCTTTTTTCCTTCTTTTCTGTTACCCAATATGCATGGTACACAATTTCTTATACAATTTTGAATTTTACTCTTTAGGTTCGGTATAAAATATTCTCCTTTCACAACTTCTTCTGTCTTCGATATTGTGAAATGTCCAATTTAATGCGACTTTCTAATCAATTCAATTTGCATAGATTTCGGTGCTACAATCAGCTTTTTTCCATTTTCATATTTATGAAGAATACAATTTTTTACGAAAAAATCTTCATACTCTTCTGTAGTTAATATTTTTTTTATAGCGATTATATGATCATCAGTTTCCTGTGCTACTTTCAGTCCCTCCATTATTCCGTCTTCTTCTGTTAACAAATTCGTTATTATCATAATAATTGGATTACGACTTAAGGCATCGACATGTGACATTCTACTTCCTTTCCGATGTTCCATCTCATAGGAATACTCCTCCAATAATAATGCCCATCTAGCAACTCTTGTGGTTAAGTCTTTTTTATTCATCGTTTTATGAAAAGCTGAGCAGACTATCACGATTTTGAATTTGAAACCAAGCAAGTATATCCGAAATTTTTTAACAGCCTGAATTATCGCCAAAACTTCAAGTTCGTAGCTGGTATATTTCTTTTCAGCTTGGGTAGTCTTCTTACTCATGTAATATACTGGGTGAAACACATTATCTTCATCAAATTTCTGCATGAGGCAAGCTCCATAGCCATACCTACTTGCATCCGTATGTAACTGCGTTTCCTGGCCTTGTCTGTAGATACGTAATACAGGTTCAGAACTAAGTAATTTTTTCAACTTCTCAAATGCTTCTTTTTGAATATATCCAAAAATGAATTTTTGTTCCTTCTTCAATAAATCACTCAAAGGTTTAGCAATGAGAGAATAAAATGCGATAAACTTCCGGAAATAACCTGTCAAACCCAGAAAAGATTGAATTTGTTTGAGTGTAGTTGGCTGTGTAATTCTTTATTGCCAATGTATTTTCACTGGAAGGTTGCACTCTCCTATCTTCAATAATGAAACCAAAAAACTCTACACGCGTCTTCGTAGCTGACATTTCTTCTTTTTAATGTCCAATCCATAGTCTTTAGCAACATGTAAAACTCTTCTTAATATCTCTACTTCTTCTTCTTCAGTTGAACTCAGTATAATTATATCATCCATATAGTATACAGCAATATTTTCACTAACAAGCTTTCTGAAAATACTGGCTACGAATCTCTGAAATACCGCTGGACTATAACATAATCCAAAAGGACATTTTAGAAATTCATAATGTCCATTCTGTGTAACGAAAACGGTGTATTTAATACTGGTTTCTTCTATATCTACATGAATTCCCTAAATCAATTGTGCTGAAATATTTAGTACCCTGTAACCTATCTAATACATCTTCAATTAAAGGAAGAGGAAATCTGTCCTTAATTATATTTTTATTTAATTTTCGAAAATCACCACATATTCTAGTGCTGCCATCCTTTTTTCTTACAAGTACAAGTGGGCTGGCAAAATCCGATGAACTAGGTCTTATTATTCCTTCCTTTAACCAATCTTCATTTTTTTCTCTCCACTTCTTCTTTTTCAAGTACTGACAACCATGTTTGGAATCACACGTTAAAAGGTAAGACCTCATTATTCCTTAGTTCGCACAAGTTTCTCAATTTCTGAGAGTTGTCGTTCGTATGGGGGCGACGGTTGATTAACGGAAAATCAAATTTCAAAACAGATTTTTTTTCTAGGACTCTGGTATACTGGCTCCTCACTCTTCATTATGATCTTCATTTTGATATCCGTAATCATCTTCTTCTCCGGACTATAGTCTTCTAGCATTTCCTTCACTTGTTTTCTACACTTTTCATTTTTTATGTGGCTGACATCAATTACCTCAACAGCTTTCTCTTCATCCACGGTCATATGCAATAGAACATTTTCTTTTTCTCTTTTTTTTTGGGAAAGAAAGTTTTTGGCTTTCTACTACTCCACCTTGATACAAAAAACTAGGACGAGGGAATCTTCCAAGGAAAGGAAGGAAATTATACAGAGAAAAGTATCTTCTGTATAATTCAGTGTTCATATAGAAGTATTTGTTTCGAAAGAATTTTTTTCTTTCGTGTAATTCAATGTTTATATGAAAGTAGCTGTTTCAGGAGGACTTTCTTTCAGTTTGTGTCTGAAAGTTACTTCTTTGCATGATCTACACATCCATGTATAGAGTT